ACTGCATCCGTTCCATCTAGCCACCTTGGAACCTTGCCATAGAATTCCACAAGGTTTGTCTGGCAGGACCTGTTTTTGTGGAAGCCGTGTTGTGTGGCTGTCAGCCTACCTTCCCTGTCTAGCATCACTAGATCTCTCTCTATTATGAGCCTTTCAATTGTTTTTCCTACAATGGACATAAGGCTCATAATTCCCCATGTCCCTTCTACTACCCCTTTTGAAAATTGGGACCACTGATGCCACCCTCCAGTCCCCTGGAACTTCACCCGTTCTCCACGAGGCCTCAAAAATGGAGGCCAGCAGGCATGAGAGAACCGCTGCCAACTCTCTAAGTACTCTCAGGTGTAACCCGTCAGGGCCTGTCGCCTTTGTATTGTCCAATGCCCTGAGGAGCCCCTTGACTTCAAGGTGGGTGACTCTAATCTTTGCCCCTAAGTCCCCGACCTCCTCTAATCTCCTATGTGAATCTCCCCCATCCTGCTTTGGGGAGAACGCAGAGATCTGTGCCTGTTCCCTCGTATCGGTCACTGCATTTCCTTCCTCCTTATTTAGCTGTCCCACTACTTGTCTCCCCTTCCTCTTCCTATTTACATGCTGATAGGAGCCCTTTTCGTTGCTCTTGATATTCTTGGCAAGTCTGAGCTCATAATCAGCCTTAGCCTTGTGAAGAATCCTTCTGCAATGGGCCTTCTCCTCCTGGTTTACCCTTTTGTCTATTTGCCCCAGTACCCATTTCCTACGGAGGTTCCTCTTTCATCTAATCCCTCTAACCACCTTCTTTCGTATCCATGGCAGCACTCTCCTCCACCTCCCCACCTTACTAACTAGAGGTATCATCAAGGCTTGCACCTCCAAAATCTCCCTTTTGAGTGCCATCCACACCTCCTCAACACGCTTACCTTCCAGTAACCTATCCCAGGAGACTTTACCCTGTCTGGCCTTCAGTTGGCCAAAGTTGACCCTCTTGAAGTCCCAGTTTCTAGTGCTCGACCTGCTGCACGTCCCCAGTCCCCTGATCTCAAAGCAAAGGATGGAGTGATTACTCGCATCCAGAGCTCCCCTAATCTGTACTTCATCTATCAGCTCCTCTCTATTGGTCAAGACCAAGTCAAGGATGTTTTCCCTCCTCGTCACCTCTCAGACCCTCTGTGTGAAAAACCCTCCCTCTATAGCTTCTAGGAAGCAACATGACCTGGCTGTCTCCACCGAGTGAGTCTCCCAACTAATATCCGGGAGATTGAAATCTCCCATAATTACTGTGATGACTTGAAAGAAACAGCATGATGGTTCTAGTTTGACAATATCTTGACAGCAACATCACACTCTGTCATTCTGAAGCCCTTTCAGGAACTGTGGCTAGTGGAGACAGGTTGTGCTGAAATGGACCCCATCCCTGCCCAAGAAAGCATGAAAACACATGATTCAGTTTTCATAGGGGGCATATTTTGCCAGATCTTGAGGTAGCATTTCAGGCCAACATTAATGAAAACTGGTAACTTTGATGAGAAAGGAACATTGCATGGAAATTTGCTGGATTAAATGAATATTCACCTTGATACCATCTTCAGTGCCATTATTTCCAATGGCTGTTACTTTCCAGTGCCAGATTCCCTTGGTTGCCATCACTGCTTCCTCCTCCTTCTCCCTCCTTAGATTTCCACCCAAGTACAGGTTTCATTAAGATTGGGATTATGTCATGCTGCTAAATTAGATGTAAAGACATCACAGTTATCACTAAATCAAAGTACTAGCAGTCAGAATGCTTTCTATTGTGACATCAGTATAGTAAAGAAAATCAACAGGTGGAGAACAGCAAACTCTAGTAGCATAAAAAAGCTAGCCAACTTTTGGGGTTTGTTATTCTGTTTTGCAAAGAGAGCTGAAATGTCTCTGAAAAGTAGTTTCCAACCTCCCACACACTTTTTAGATTGACTGTGTTCAGAAGGAACAAGGAGCAATTTCATTCTGGTAATTGCCCTGCTTAGATATGAGAAAGATAGCATGACTTTGTGCTACATTTAGAAAACAACCTCAGAATGTATGCATGTTCCTTGGAGGGCTCACCTTTCTGTAACCTTAACTGCATACTAAGGGAACTTATTTGTTTAAGAAGCCTAACAGTTTCTCAGAAATACCGCTGAGATCTACTGGCTGCTAAAGGCCCTTGGCATAGTAACAGGGAGAAGAGATCAGAGAAGCTAAATAGGTTAGGTATTTTTAAATTAGATATTGTTTCTCAGGAAGTGTTTTAAATAATAATTTAAAAGCCTATCTGTGTGCAATGGAAGTAGTTAAAAAACTTCTTACTGAAATTAAAACAATTTTTGATGATAGCTTTTTATGAGATTAGTAGCTTTCAAGTGCTCTCAAGAAATATACTTTAAAAGTGACTTTAGATGTTGCAAAATAGACCAGCTCTCAGCTTTGTTACCTTTCTGTATTTAGTTATTCCGTATATTTATCCACCTTTCCAATCAGTGGATTAACGAGGCAACTAATAATCCTAAAATTGAAAGCAAAATACACAGTGCTGGAGGGCTATTCTTAGCTCCTGTACTTTGTCTACCCCATGAATAATGATTGGCAATATAATAATAATATTCTTGGCAAAAGTCAAGATGCTAGCATTGTCCTTCAAAGTTCTAGCCAGGTTGAAGACCAGCTTACCTGAAGAAGAAGAAGAATGATGATGATCTTTCAAATACAATCTAAATCAATGTTTGCTGGTATTGCTAAGACAGTGGCATGAGACAATAACATATTTGCTAGGAAGGATAACTGTATATAAAAACCACTTTCTCTTCAAGTCAATGTTTGGCCCGCCCTAGTTTAATCAGAGTATTTTCAGGGAGACTTCTGTAAAGTCTCCATTGGTTTCCATGGTATTAAATATAGACTTTGCACATGGGGGCACTACAGAATTACAGCATAATTGAGTTGAGCTGAGCTGCTGAGCTGAGCTGATCCTGGTAAATTCATTGCTTAAGAAATGTTTGCAGACTGGCAATCTCATTGTAGCACTCTGTGTAAATTATCTCTCTTCCTTGCTGTGTATTTTCCCCATTCACTTTACTCTGGATGCATTTACTAGTAGTGACCGTACACAGCTGTTCCTAAATCCTGAAGGGCATTTTGGGATAGATTAACCATCTGCTCATTTTTACTCCAACAGCTAACAGCAACATAAGGGAATTTGTCTTAAATAATCTCCAAAATGGTGGACAACCCAAAGCAGCAGCTGCAATTGGTGTTTCTGATAGCAGTAATAGGATTTTGATTTGATCTGAATTTTGTGAAGTACTCTGTACAACATCAAATTTGCAGTGGAAAAATGGCACTGCGAAAGTTTATTAATAGTACATTTTTTCATAAGCAAACATATTGCCAACAGGCCTATTTTACTTGGGATTTTTTCTTGCTTTTGATTCCCATTATCTTTTTAATTCATTACCAGTTTTATCTTCCATTTTTAATTTTTCTATTTTATATAGATTCCAATTGTATTTTATTACATTCTAGTGTCCATACTATAAACTGCCTTGAAACTATTTTGCAAAAGGTGGGATATAAATATATGAATAAATTAAAGTGGTAGTATTCCATTGTACATGAATATATTCTACTTTAATCTCTGCAGTAGTTTATGGTTGCAAATATTTTGCAAAGCCAAATTCAAAAATTTAAACTATGGCTTTGATAACAACAACTCCTTTAATATTTCATGACCAGAACACAAAGGAAATCCAAGGGTAATGGGAGGGGCTGAAGAGTCATCTTTGCAGATTTCTATATGAATTCACCTGATAAGTATGGCATAGACCAATATGTGGGTGAGAACATAGTTATCTGATGGCTTCACATTTCCTGAATGTTTCAGTGCAATTCTTGGCTCAAAAAGTATTATCATATATTTGGAAATAAGTACTTAGATATAGATATTGAAGTACGTTTTGTTGGTTTTTAAATTTAAAGGCACATATGTATATAGAAACAGGCTTATTGGTGAACATGCGAAAAAGAAACAAACAAGTATCAGTCTAGATAAGCCTGTTTCTTTGTTAACTTGAGCTAAAATATTTGAGCTAAATCTAACATGTTTTCAACTCAGTAGGACAACCACAGTGGAAAAACAAAGCCAATTCATATACCAGTTAAGTTGGCATCTGTTCTGGGAAGCTGGGGACCATAGGGGAATAAGAGAAAGAATACTGATGAGGAATGGGGGTGTCCAAGAGGCACAAAAAGGGGAAAGAGAGCTGTACTGGTAAGACCAGAGGCCAGCTGTCAACCAGTAACACATCCAGATACCCAAGGCTAAGCTGAAAGTATCTTCTGCTCAAGTCAGGCAAGAGCAATGGGCTGTCTGAGGGATCAGTCAATTCTAGACTAGCTCTTCCATTTTCTTCTATCTTTATTTATTTGTGTATGTATTTATTGAATTAGTTTGAGAACCATACTTTAGTATAAACTCTCCAATGCTATTGTGAGTGGCTTTCATCAGAGAAGCTATCAGATATGAGCCGTCCCGAAGCTGTGTAGCAATAGGGATGGCATATAAAAACTTTAAATAATAAATAAATATGCCAGAAGGTTACTCTTTCAAATCAAGATAATTGTCTCATCATGCGGAACTATGCAATGTGTGATATGAATTGTAAATTTGTCACAAGCCAAAGCAATAGCATGATTATTATTCAGATACTAAAGCTGGCATAGATCAACCCAACCCACTTATTTACCATACCAGTTTGTGTAAATGGTCTATGAAAAATAAAGAAGACAGTTGTAGGGCTGGTTCTACTCTGTGTCTCTAGGCATCTGCTGAATGGGGAATTTGACTCTGAAGTATATTTGGGTTTGATGCCTTAGATTCAATTCAAATGTACATAAATATTAAATGAGCACACAGGCCAATTCATAGTCATTCAAAGGAAACATCAAATGATGCCACACACTACAATTTTAATTTAATGAAAGGCTTATTCACTTGGCCTTTACATTCAATCAACCTGACCAATGAACTTCATAAACTTGTGGTTATCCCGGTATTTAGAGATATTGTCTGGGTTCCAGGTCACATCCACCCAAGCCAGGATAATCCTTGGATCCATAATGGCCATAAAAATGTCCAAGTACCTCCAACAGACTCGAGTTATCAATTGCCAAGTATTTTCCTCCCTCTGTGCTTTATCTTGCTCTTCCAGCATATTTTTGATCTTATCTAAAGTATTCTGAATCTCTTGAATCTTCTTCAGGTTATTCTTTCTCTTATATTTGTTGTGTTGTTCAGTCATCTTCAGGGCCCTGGGCTGCACTTCCTTTAGCAGAGCATTGGTGTCTTCATCATAATCCCAAGTACAGGCCAAAGCAAGGTCCTCAGAAGCTTCCTCCCAGTGTCCCAGAAGCATATGTGCTTTCCCTCGCCATTTGTAGGCCTGGGCATTGTCAGGATTGAGCTCTGATGCCTTGTTGCAGTCTCTAATGGCAGCAATGGGCTTTTGCATTTTGACAAATACGCTGGCTCGGTTGGCATACAAAAATGAGGATTGTGGGTTCAGCTTGATAGCCTCTGTAAACAAGTCAATAGCATTCTGCATCTCTCCTATCTCTAGGGCAGCATAGGCCTCTTCCTTCTTCTGTTCAGCCTTGGTTTTCATCTCATTTGTCACCTCCACATTTTCATCCCCCATTTCCTGGGGTTCATCTTCATCTGGTTTGATAACTCCATCCTCATCAGCCTCTAAATCACTCTCCTCACTTGTGGGTGGCTCTGGGGACTTCCTTTGCTCTTTACCAAGTCTTAAGGGAAAGGCATCAATTATCTGGAAGCCTGCAATGGTGTCTCCAATACTTTCCAATGAATCTCTTATAAAAGTCAGTTGTTTTGCTCTCAAGAGCGTTGGATTCTGTTTGTACAAGGCTTGAAGATCACCTACACTTTTAGGATCCATGGTGTTGTAACCAGCTAGAAGCTGGGCTGACCCACAGGAAACAGTGAAATGCTACTCCCAGTGCAAATAATTTGGATAAAAAGCTAAGAATCCTGTACAAACAGCATATGAGTTAGAAATTCACTTCTATCACAGGAAGGAAAGAAGCTGTGACTCCCATATATCCCTCCATGTGGGTCTGCTGCTGTCCTTAGCTAAAGTTGCAGAACTTTAACAGCATTGGTTACTATGACAGTTTGTTTTATGTCAAGGGTTCTGCTGATGTCACCCAATATGACATCACTTCAATACTGAAGATGAATTTCCATGTATTGACATCTCCCTGACTGTTAGCATTTGCTGCATTAGAATGTATATCTAGATACTCCATTACTTAGAACTGAAATAGATGTTGCAGATGCAGTTGTAGATTTATATATACTAGCTCCTGATTTTTCATCCATTATCTGAAGCAGAGCTGCAGAGAGCTTTAATTGGCTCAGTTGGTAGTAGGTTATACAGTTAAGTTTTTATTTAATTTTATTTGGTATTCAGGGCTGCCCTAGGAACTTAAGAAACCCTCAGTGAGAGAACTAGCAGTTCTAGGCAAGCCATTGAAAGGAATCTTGCCTACAATTACCTGTCCTTCCCTAAAATTCACAGTTCCTCCATGTTTTCGAAGATGAAATCTCAGTTCTCATGGCAGTCTTCCCCAACCTAGTGTCCTCCAAATGTCTTCTACTAAGTACCATTCCTGTCAGTTACATGGCCAATGGTCAGAGATGAAGAGTATTGGAATCCAAAACATTAAAAATGCACTCATCAACTTGTTACTGGACTGAGCCAGTCAACAGCTGGGGCAAACCCGGGTGGACCCCAGACCCAAGCCAAACAGAACCTGAGATGAGACTTAGAGCCAAAATCAGCTTTATTTCTAGTGCACTATAGAATAAAGGGAGACAAAAGGGGACATTCAGCCCAAAGCAGCGTCTCAAAAGTTGCACCCTGTACATGCGTTTTATACCCTAGGTATAAAATTAGGTCACCTAATACACATCTAATGCATCGATACCTCAACGTATGTACCCCCTCCCATGCCGGAGAAAGAGTCCTTTCTTCTGCCAAGGACCAGACATTTCCCATGTCTATTTCTTATCTGCTCGAGATTCACACAGGCTTGCCATGTTCTTACTCGTGCACATTTGCAACTTTCATGGCAGCTAGAACCAGTTTCCACTGTCCCTTTGATTACTGTATTCGAGGTCAGGCTAGTGTGTTAGCTGTGGGTTACACAAAGTTTATTTTGTTCTTATCCCCCCTTCCTTCTGGGACAGTATAACTGTGGTGTTTTTACTATGTGGCCTTCCTGTGGCCAACTACTTTTGGGGCCTTTCTCTAGCCAATTACTTTTGGGGTGTTTTGGGCTGCTGCAATTGGTAACAAACTGGAGAAGGCTGTTTCATGAAACTCATTCAAAAATTCATTCTGAATTTTTGCCTAATAGGCAAAATCACTGTGCTTTAGAAACACATAAGCAATAGAAACAGATAAGGTGCAGTTCCATGTATGCTTAGACTCAATGAGGAGTGCTGTGAGTTGTGAGACTTTCTTTCCTGTCTGAATATGCACAGGAATGCATCCATATGGGGGGAGTTCACTGATCCCAGTCATAGGAGCATATTGTGGTATATATTGTATTTTAAGTCTGCCATTAAAACTGTGAGGTGTGGATGTGACAATTACTTGATAGCAAATTTGAGTGGGATGGTGTAAATTTGTATCCTGCAACAGCAGAGGATTGCACCTGATGGCCTTCTTGACTCCTTCCAACTTTATCATTCTATGATCTTATGATTCGATGTGTATCACACAGGAACACCTGCCAAAGATGCCTGCAACTCCATGTTGAGTATGCACTCAATGGTAAACCCATCAAAAGTAAATCCAAATCAGCCTCTATGTATTAGGCAAAATGGCCTTTGCCACTGTACTTGAAAATAATATCTTTATGTAACAGAATTATCTTCCAGGGCAGTGGTATGACTGAGCTGCTTGGGATGACCACCTGAATATGAAATACCATTTCAAATTGTAGAACATGCCTGGCTGACCAGTCACGTCCCAAGCATCCTCAATATTAACGGTATCACAAATGGCCACAGATTGAGCAGTCTCCTGTCAAGCACCCTTAGCCCAGCCTCCAGAAAGTCCGGCCTCCCAGGTGTACACGGAGACCACCTGAATTCAAATGTGCTAATCAGTGCTCGCTACCTGGTCAGCCAGGGCATAAAAGAGGACTGCCTCCTGCCTTCTGGGTTGATTTTCATTTTGCTGTGATCAAACTTTGATCTCAAGTGATGTGAGTGAAATGATCCAATGAATGGTGCATTTACTAATGCCTTCATTTAACAGGTGAGATGAAACTTTGCAACTCTTTGCAGAAGATATCCTGGATGAAATTCCAGTATAGCTTAACTGGACTTGTGCCAGTGATTTTATTGACACTAGAAACAAAATAGCTCTTCAGAGAGTTATTACATTATTTAATAACTCTTTGTGCTAGGGTAATGTTCAGTTTTGAACTGCATTATAGTCCATGCATGGTGCTTCCCATCATGAACATGCTAACCTTCCCTTGTCTTCACAGTTGCCAGATAATGCCTTCTGAACTCTTCTTGAAGCATTTTTAAATACAGCATCAGAATCAGCTATGAATGGAATTATTTTTGGCTTGCAAAGATTAAGAAACAGGATGCCATGGTATTTTTTCTTGCAGGATGGTGTCAGGATCAGAGCCTGAGTCAGCCTGCAAATGCTTGCAGAATCAGGAACATCTCTGCAGGTGCTTTCAAGAAACAGCTGTGTAGCAATTGTGCTGTACAGCTGGGAGCCTTGGAGAGCCACATCAAAGGCTTCACTGCACTGTTGCTCCTTGTCACAGCAACACAAGCTGTTCTGGTGGCTACCTTGTGCTTCAGCCTTCAAGCCTTGCTCCAAGCCCTTGCTCCTGTCTGCCAGCCTCCTGCCCAGCTCCAACTTGTTCCTGCTTCCATCCTTGTTCAGGTACCCTGTCTTACCAGGTACCTGAACCCATCCTCCCTGACTTTGTCTTGTTCCTGAACATGACTGCCATTTCTGTACCTGACCTTCAGAGGGTTTTCTTGGACTATGTGCTCTTGGACTCTGTTTGCTTGAAACTTGTTGTTTCACTGGCTCTTGACTGTGCAAAGAAGTGTCTCTTGCCCCTGCTGTGAGCTGAATCCTCCCTTCTTGCAGTAAAAGACTCACCAGTGCTTCTTGATAAACATATTTATTCTACATAGAAGTCTCTGAGCATACACAAAGTAAGAAGGTTGAACCCTCTTTGGCCCCCTTCACCTAAAGATTTGCTTATGAACCCTTATGTCCCAGTCTTGGGAGGGAGGAGCACTGTGTAATTGGGCACATCTGTGTTCTTCTCTCTGAGATCCCAGTTGGGCCACCCTGAGACTATGATGATGGACTTTTGGGTCCACCTCCTTAGGAGGCTGGAGTTCTCCATCTGATAGACTTCCCAGCTCTAAATCCCACCCCCTAGGTTGTTGTTACTCTTCTTCGTTCCCATGGGTGGGTTGACTAGGCCTCTTGACTGCCCTAGCAGGCACAGATGGGTACACAGAGCCTTGGACTGCAGCTGAAGCTGCATCCATTTCAACAACTATCTCATTATCAGAGCCTGACAGGACCAGTCAACTCCTCTTGGCTCATTCTGTATTCTCATTCTCAGCTCATTCTCATTCTCAGAGTCTGAGAAGCTCATTCTCAGAGTCTGAACTGTCAGTCCTGCCAAAATGGTGAGCTGCATGCCTGGAAATCTTGCCAGAATGCACACACACAACAGCCCTTGCCCTCTAAAACCTGGTACAAGTTTCCTCCCTTCATCTGTACCCTGGTCATGACAACTTGATTGTAACTGCCTACTGTTCATGCCCCAGATCTTATAGATGGTCGGTTGTGCAGTCCAAACCCTACTGTGGAATTTGAGCATGGTACATTTGGTTTTTAAAAACTACCCTATGTAACAGGTCTCTTCTATGATTTCCAAACTTTACCATGATTTCTCTGGTCATCCAAACCCAACATCATGGTTTTCATGGTCCTGGTAGGCAGCTACATAGTCTTCTGGGAAGAGCAGCAGCTGCTTGAAGAGCTGTTCCAGCACTCCAGAATGGGATGAAATGTCAGGTACAGTGACTGGTGGAATATGGCACATATAATATGTGCCAACAGTGGGATGACTGTGCAAGGACAGTGGAAACTGGCATAGTAGCACATCCAGGGAAAAAATTGCTCACTATGGAAACCACACAGGTTTGTTGGTCATGATGTGTGGACCCAGATGCTGACTTAGAATCTTAGGATTCTAGGATGCCAATGGATTTCAGAAAATTCAAATCATGAAGTAAGATGAGCATGTTGGACAATTGAATAAAATTCAACCTCTTGTACCATATGTTAATTTGATTTGGAAGAGGACATCATACATGCCTTTGGCAAATCTTTATCATGAATACAAATATGTTTTTTAGAGTTTCCTCCAGTAAAAATCTTTTTTTTTCACTTTACATTTATGGGTGATGATATATGGAGAAATGGATGGCTTGGATTCACTATTGGTAGCCAATTCTTGGCTGTTTCATGCAGAAAACTAGGGACCTGCTGTGGAAATCTGTATCTTTTTCTCTCTCTGTTTTGTGATACGCATGTTACTTTAATCATTGTAAATTAGATATAGTAAACCCCCTGCATGTGTTACACTGTGGTCATAGTATTGGGAACCAGGAGGTCAGGGCAGCAGTGGAGGATGCAGAATAAACATTCTACTGACATTCTACTGACATATTGCTTTTTACTGCTTGGGTGGCTTAGAACCACTTATATGTCTTATTCCTGCTGGCTTTACTGCAGCCGCTAGATGAAATATTTTCTTCTTTTAAGAATTAGGAGATGATTTCCAAACTGGTAGTTAAGAAAGGTTTTCA